AACTGCTCTCTTCTCATCACTGCTTCATCTCTGTTTTTTGCGACTTCAGAACTCGTGGTAGCTCTCTGTCTTCTCTATCCTACTGCCTCCCTTATCACAGCCTTCACGGCGTTTTAAGGTTCATCCCAACCCAACTTTTGGTTTGCCTTATTTCACGTATAGTTTTGCGTTGCTTTTTATCCTCTTTTACAGAGGATCTCTGGCTATGGGTCCCACCTTTCAATCACACCCATCTCTATTAAAAAAAGACTGGATAGGAACAGAACTGCTTAGACTGTGATATAAATGCAGAGTCCACGAATTCCACTACGACCCCAGCTTCGTGTTAACTGATCCGGATCCATATGAAGAACGTGCATTTCCTCACAAAGCTGTTGTAATCAATCAGAGTATATTCAGGTACCTGAAGGGATAACACACCGCCTATGACTGGAAGAACTCTATCATCTAAGGCCCCGAGGTACGTCTCACGGTTTTCCGAAACACAAATAGGTCGTGTGCCCATTGCTGTACAGAACATTATCAATTTTTATCGTGTTGATCACACTAGAGGGACGTGCCTGAATTCATCGAGCATGACTCGTAGCCAACTAGGCATCAAGTACCACGCTATACTGTCCTCTAGCCTAGCGATTGCAGAGACAGTGGCCCGTTTCTGGAAGGCATTAGGGCCAAAGTTGTCTAAATTTTCTGAGTGGACATGCTTTTTGCGCTTTCACCTAATGATAAGCTTTGTGTGGCCGGGTCACATAATCATTTTTGATGAGAATATTGATCAAGGGAAGTTTCTTATTGACCACGTTGTAAGCGCAATAATATGAGAACATATGAAAAAATAAACAGCGCCAGTTTCAACTTTTTTTCGGTCTTTGTTGAGTTGGAACAGGCACGCCACCCCATTTGGTTTCGTACAATGCTTCTTGGTGACTCTGGAAACGACCATATATATCCTTCTGATCTCAGCCAAGAAGGCAAGCCCAGACTGAACAAGCTAATCCAGAAAGCGGTTTCTGGATGCACCAGGCCAAAGCCGGATCATCAGAATCCTCCCCAGGAGGACACTGAAAGCATACGCTCGATAACAGTGTGGTAGGAGTTAAGAGAAAATCACAGTGTGTACCTTAAAGTTGTGGCGCGAGCAAGGCTTCGCAACTCGGTCTTCCTCGCTCACAAGTGTATCAGAAACCTTACAACCAGTTACTCGATCCCTACAACAACAATGCATCACGGTTAGTCACCCAAGGTCTCCTTCTCCCCCAACCATCTGTCCTTCGATGGAACAGTCCCGTTCGACTTTGGCATTCGGCTTTCATTGATATATGCACAGTAACCATGATCTGTACAAAATCGCAGTCATGTATCAGTAATAGAAAGCGCCTATTTTAACCAACCGTTTGAATTAGCATCTAGGGCTTGTAAACTATGGTCCGCCATTTGGAGAGACCGTACACACTGATGAGTGCTCACAAATGGTTGATCCGGCTTCGGTGTTTCTTGAAAAGATAGGAATACAGTCTTGCACTTTGACACAGGATGCATCTCAAAATATTTTAATTTGCCGAAGAAATTTCCTACCAGTTACTACTATTTTCGATTGTCCATTTGCAACGTTAACCTACAAAAATGGAAAAGCTATTACGTAATTTCTGACTTCTTCTATGTCCGACTCCCTATGCCAAATAAGACAGAAGAGCTTTTTCATAAGGGAAACTACTCACACGATTCCTGAAAACTCTTCGACAGCCCAAGACCGGTTTCACCCTTCTTGGGGCTCATCAGGTAGGCGCAGTCCCCGAGTTTTCACCAACCTTATGTTCTACTTGAACAGAAGAGCTTTGTGTGGCTGCGCTTTCCGACATTGCTACTACGGAAATCCACCTCCTCTGTGGGATGGACGAATTTGGAACAACTGGTCTTAACATACATGACGGTCACTATAAGCCAATGGCTTGTCAATCAGTCTCCCGAAGATGTTGAATAGTTGTCATCACATCGTGGATTCTGTGTGAGAAAGCTGTAAGAAACTACTGCTTCATTAACAGACAGTATATATCCATGCATGAGTTGAACCCAACTGTGTATGAGAAACGCACATCAAAGGCCTTCTTTGGGGATCGAATCGAGAAGCAACCGGTTTTTCCCTAAATACGAATGAACTAGAAAGTCAGTGTATCATCGCTCGTAGGAAAAATTCATCCTGAGAGGATAACTGTCCTTTTCTTAAAGGTATTCCTTGCGTGAATGTTTCTTACAATTCGAAGGTGAACCGGACTGAAATCCTTGGCATTCAGTCAAAATGACAGACCGTAGCTTCCTTCTCTAGGGTGTCTGGGGAGCACTAGATTTCAATCATGAAGGGCAACATAAATTTCTCTTATCTTAAAGGTGGATAACTGACTCATATTCGAACACAGACAAATGTAGACTTCACGAATCAACAGCGTATGACTGCAGGTCGAATGTATCCTTGTTATAAAATGTACCCGACTTTCAGGGTGAAATCGAAACCTTTTCGACATTCAGAATACCATAGCTCATTGTCAGGTGCTGTAAAAGTTGGCCTGACAAAAACGTAAAATGTGAAAAACCTGGAATAGTTTATAAGGTACCTTTCTACTTCAGTAAGGTCCAATATTGTAGCAAGCAGCTCACCATTCCGCGCATTTCAAGCCAGAATGGTGATCGTTAAATGAGGATTGTGCAACTTGGTGAGGCACAAAAAAAAACAGGGATGACAGCACAGAAAGACTGTCACTTTCGTCGAGTGACAGTGATGTGGTGTGTCTCAATGATGAACAAAACTAACGTCATGGGTCATAGGACAAAACGGAAGCCCGAAATGTTTCAAGGAACAAGTCATCTTAGGCGTAAGCTCTGAAGTGAGCCGAACGGAACATGTTGAGCGCTGGCCTGCTGCACAGAAGCGAAATTCTTTCCACGTTTGAACATCGATGCTAATGGGTATAAGAACTACATCAACCTTCTTTTTTCCACCTAAGATTAATGCAAAACACGAACAGATTGACACTGAAATCATGTAACAAGTTAGAGCTACGCACTGAGAACTTTTACTCACATCCCTTATTCACACTGTAGATGCATATGAGTATGACAGAGAATCGCTTAGTCCCACCAAAATCGCTTGTCATTCACCTTAGCTTGCGAAGCATTTTTAAGGGCGTGTTCCTTTAGACTATTCGGTGCCGAAACAAACTTTTTTCTGTCACATTAGCCTAGTTGATTTTATTTTCGGAAAACGTATTTCTATGGGAAACCACACAATGAGTTGCATCGATTAGAACAAGGATTTATTGAACTGTGTGATTGCTTCTCACGAGAAATAAATGTTATGCCACCTAGGAAGTGGAGTTTTTAGACTGAATCATACCGTTAGGCCCGGACAAACTATGGTGGCATAGGAGTTACCAACGCAGCTCCACGCATCTCATTCAGTACTGATGTTCAACGTCGATATATTCCTGAAGTACGACGAATTCAGATGGAAGCACCAGACATAATGCAAAGTAGACGGGGTATTGGACTTTCAATGAACAAAAGCATGCGACACTTCACCCATACTCAGCAGTTACCACTGTAAGGATACAGTCACGTAAACATGCCACTACTAAAGTACTAAGCAGAACCGCTGGCTCAAGGCAATTCAGCCTATCCCGAGGGAATTTGCATAGCTAGGGCGAACCAGAGGGATACACGGGAGTCAAACAAATACTGGTCGGAGAATTCCATCGTAAAGGCGCAAGATGATAAGCAGTGAAGTTCAATGGATGGGGAACTTCGGGTGCAGTCGTGTACTAATGCCATCCGATGTTCCAGTGAGAAGTAAAACCCGGAGACAGGTAAGATACACATCTGAAATACGGGGCTAAGCGGGGAAATGACAGACAACGAACGCGTCAATACATTGATGGAAATTCTGGCCGTATGTAAACCTACTTGTCGTTCGTCTGTCTGCCTAGTGGCAATAAACAGCAATCCTGGTAATCAATCTTTGCATTTACCGATACATCATACAAAGGTGAGTATCTTGGTTCACTATACTACTGTACTACTATATTATATTGTACCACACCATACTGCAATAAACAGCAATCCTGGTAATCAATCTTTGCATTTACCGATACATCATACAAAGGTGAGTATCTTGGTTCACTATACTACTGTACTACTATATTATATTGTACCACACCATACTGCAATAAACAGCAATCCTGGTAATCAATCTTTGCATTTACCGATACATCATACAAAGGTGAGTATCTTGGTTCACTATACTACTGTACTACTATATTATATTGTACCACACCATACTGCAATAAACAGCAATCCTGGTAATCAATCTTTGCATTTACCGATACATCATACAAAGGTGAGTATCTTGGTTCACTATACTACTGTACTACTATATTATATTGTACCACACCATACTGCAATAAACAGCAATCCTGGTAATCAATCTTTGCATTTACCGATACATCATACAAAGGTGAGTATCTTGGTTCACTATACTACTGTACTACTATATTATATTGTACCACACCATACTGCAATAAACAGCAATCCTGGTAATCAATCTTTGCATTTACCGATACATCATACAAAGGTGAGTATCTTGGTTCACTATACTACTGTACTACTATATTATATTGTACCACACCATACTGCAATAAACAGCAATCCTGGTAATCAATCTTTGCATTTACCGATGTATCACACAAGGTTGAGTAGATTGGTTCACTATACTACTATGTGCTATACTATATTATATACTATACTATACTGTACTGTACTATGCTATACTACTATATACTATATACTACTACTATACTAGGTCGCTGTGCCCACCCATTTGTCCTTTTATCCAGCTATAGCAACTTGGATCAATCGTGTATCTTCAATACACAGTTTGTGGTTGAATAACTGACTGAGTGGTGTTGCTAAATCGGCCATTGTTATACCACATACTGCACAAACAAACTTACCGTAGTTCACGGTGTTCGGAGGAGAACGCTTGTTGTTCGAGGTCACAATGAAGAGGAAATTGCAAGTCCGAATCTGTAAACGGATAGACAGTTTACATTAAATCATAAACGAGTGAACACGAGCATGCGGTTTAGGATAAGCCGTGACCCGAAAGCGAAAGAATTAACTTGAGCAATGGCCACTGACTATGTCTGATGTGAGATAGTTCACTGTTCTTCAGCCTTCATAAATAGTTGTGACTGATGACCAGTTTAGTGCAGCAGTCATGTGACGTTCAATGAGGTGAAAAACGCTTGGAAACGATTGAGTAGTCATAGTTTTGGGAAAAGTAGATGTATTCCTGGGCAACGTTTCGCTTTTGACACCGAACGACATTCAAGGGGGATCACGTGAACCGAACCGGAAGAACTAGACCCCAGGCTGGACCCAAATCCATGTACGTTTCAACGTCAAACACTTGGTCACCTACCCTAACACACAAAATCCATGGGCCGACACCTAAAAGAGATTTAGCTTGACCTAGCTGATTAGTTCCCCTTCCGCCTTAAATCTCGACCAACCTCACAACTTGGCCTGACGAAGCTTTTGTGTGAAAAACGAAACGTTACCCACCAATAAGTCTACCGATCGTTACCAGTCTTTCCCGAAAACAGTCATGTGATGCTTATTGATCCATTCAGAGCGACTGGGTGGTATAGGGACGCAACAGCCGAGCACAAATGTCTGTGCATCACCGTCACTGTGGTGGAAAAGACGGGCGTTGTTGAAGACAGGCCCATCTAGTTCTGAATTTACCTTCGAAAACATGCACATTCGTTATCTGACACCCAGAAATTTCGGCGTAAATATAATACTAGAGAGAGCAAAACAAAAAGGAAACGATTGTTGTGTGGGCTCATCACAGTCCGCAAACAGTTATGCACCCACTTGTAACTGACTGCCACAGAATCCACGTTTTTCCTGATCTTGATTCGAAGTTATCCAGTGGTCCTGAGTCTGTGTAGAGTAACCACACTTAAGATTTCACGCTTTTCGTCTTTCATTATATACCCAACTCATGGGCAGTCAACGTAAGTGACACCCTCACATATCGATTGTATCCATTTCGCGTGTATATCCACACTTTGCCCAACCAGTTTAGCCATGCGGTCCCATGACAGTAATAACTGTCGTCCCACTCTAACTGATTAGATCTTCTTAAGTAGAAAAAATAACTGCTCGGTTGAAATAGCTTTTAGGCGCCTAGCTGCCATGCCATCCGAAGAAAGCACGAGTGTTGAAATGCTGCCAGGGTGCCCAGACCTAGAAGCGAGCAATCCAGATGCAGAGGTTAGGTTCGAACCACGAACCTTCCGGCCAGCAAGTTCACGTCTCAATGAGTGAGTTATAACTTCCTCTCTTGCTAAGCAGTCCCCGATCGGCTTGGTAAAATCAAAATCTGAGGAAAATGGTAGTCACGCAATGGAAGATTTCAAATCTCCTAGAGTTTCGAACCGCTTTACAGACACGCACACAGAGGACTGTCGCGAATAGGGGACCAGTGAGACAATTGACAACTAAATCGACGCAAATTGGTGTTTTATTTCTTCATCTAAGGGGACGCGAAAGAGAAGCACATAATGAAACGATCATGGAGGAATGGATGTCGCAACTTTACAACAAAAAATAGCAGTCTTTGAGGCGTCAGAGCTTCAAAAATGTTGTTGTGTACATATACACTCAGATCATGTGTCTAAAAGTATAAACAGCCTTTTATAGCATGAGACGACTACGCCAGTTAGATTGTTGCCCGACTGGAGGATTATACACTACTGATAAAAATAGCAACGGTTATTGTGTTCTAGCAAACAACTGCAGCTTTGCGTAGGGTGAACAGTGATATGCTTGTGCCAGCCAATCGATTAAACAAAGCTGGGTAGATAGATTTAGCTGGCGTAGGCAACGAAGAACAACGAGAATTCGCAATCAAGCTGTTGTTTTTAAGTTTTTTTTTTGGAAAAGCGCTGTATGAGAGATGCTCACTGTCGTCTACAAATAAGTGCTCTCTAGGATTTGATGTGATACTGGTTGCCAAAGCATATTTCCTGGAAGTCACTTACATCATTATGCATTTGCTTATTCCACTATCCTTCCTGTTTATTCATTGCCGCGACAGCAATCCCGCTGGAATCACTGGATCCCAGCTACAACTGCTTGCCACCACCGTGCTCACGGGGTGTCAGAATGTCCGCGCTCTCAACATATGTTCTACGGGGTAGAATAATTTCTAAATACGGTAGTGAACAGGCGAGGCCCCGGTCACCACAAATGATACCACCGTAAATCCTACGGGGTCGATTTGTATTTCACCCAAAGCATCTCACCCCAGGGGCAACCGGTAGTACGCGAGTTCCGTATTAAATGCTCACAACCCTGCCACAAGGCAAAGTCAACTTTGAAGCCTCATAACACTGTGATGACTATTTGAACTGTTGGGTAGGAATTTCTGCACCCACTTTGTGTTTTAGTGAGTGTTCATTGAACGCCCTACTTGGTAGGTTGCTGAAAATGCCAACAGTTCACGACCGTCCTTCTTGGAGTTCATCGGGTGGGCTAAGTCGTCGAATATTCGTCAATCTCATGTAATACCTGAGCTCAAGCTGTACTCATTTCGCGAAATGCTCATTACAAATCAAGTTGATGCGTTAATGTGGTTGGTCAGTATCACAAATATCGTACAGATTGAAACATTGGGGGGGGGGTTGTGCAACGTATTTAGCTGAGGAATACCATGACCGAGCGATTCAGTTTGGTTTCAGCCGATTCTCCAATTCACACCAACTCGACTTGCAAATGAGTGTATTTCACCAATAGAATACAGTCCGGTGTTAATGTGGACAGGAACCCGGGGACCGCGCCTACCTGATGAGCCCCGAGAAAAGCGAAACCGGTTGTGGGCTATCGAAGAGTTTTCAGCAACCTTGTGAGTAGCTTCGTTTATCAAAATATACCGTGATATCTCAAATATCGTACCGACTGAAACACGAGGCGGCCTTGGTTCAGCCAGAGACTGCCATATATGAGGGTTTCAGTTGAGCCTCTCGTAAAGACCGAACTGATCTGTAAATAATTGTATTTGCCGATATCTGCCCAATTTGGGTTCAAATAGAACATAAGATGGACCGAGACTCAGAAACTGTGCCCACCTGATGAACCCAAAAAAGTGCGAACCCAGTAGTGCCCTGCCGAAGAGACCTCAGAAACCGTGTGCGTATTACGTCATGTCAAGAAAATCCTACGATTTCCCTAATGTCGTACCAACTGACATATGAGGCCGCCTTTATGCAACACATTCAGCTGAGTAATATCACAAAAGAGAGATCCGGTTCTGTTTCTCGTTAACACCAAAATAATTTGCAAGTAAGTGTATTCCATCACCTGAAGAATTGCCTATTAACCTGCAGGCTTTACCAGCAATCTCATTCTCACTCCACTCTCAACCACCTCATTTGATCGGCATTTACTGAGTACAACAGTATGTCTCTCCCCAACGTTGGCGTATAAAATTCGGTGGAGCGAACCGTGAGAAGGGAACTTGGGTGTCAGCTGCTACCAAGCTTGGAGGATGGTGAAAGTTGAAAATGAGTCAAGAGAATGAGGCATCTATCACCATACTCCCGTGTCATCGCTCTCATCAGCCTCATCGTTATTATCGACATGAGTGTTTCAATTCCTTAAACCACCAGTAAGCTGGAAGACCAATTTCAAACTTTACCCGTAAGAGGGTGCACATTGTGAAGGATATCAAGAATTCCGGATACTCGATATGATTTTTGATAGTTGTTTGAAGAACTCTAATAGTCATATCGAAAGGGACGACTTATTATTGTATCCTTCCTTCGATTAGCTTACTCATACCTGTTGCACCGTAATTTTTGGAACGAGAACAAGGAACCTTCAAACCCCAGTTTTTCTTCTCAACGCATAGTGAGGAAGTTGGATAAAAGCTCGAAAGCCACGAAAATGCCACGCTTTTACTAAGAAGAAAGTAGTATGGTTGATATTCTTCCCGAATTTTTAAGTACCGTTACTTTTTAAACTAGAGCACTTGCTCGGAGTGAGCAAGTTTCGGTGTCCAAGAAATACCCATCTTTAAAGGGGACTTTATACATGTATACAGGACCAGATAGGCATACACTTATTTGTCTTTTCATACTCAAGTTGTTCCATATGATCGAACTCCAGGATGTTTGTCTAACGGATACATGATTCTCATTGTTCTTCGTGGATGAAAGTGGCTACTGCCGGAGCTCGTAGCCAATGCCAAGTGTAAGCAGTTAATCGTACCAATATAACCTTTCGAAAGATTTATAAAAAAAGTAGAATCCTGCATTCCGGGACATAAAACACCTACCACTCCGAAGTTGTGCACAAAAAATTGCTGTAGAACAAAACAACTTGGCGCCCTTATTGACAGGAAGTGAGTTCAGCGAAAGCTCCGGGGTAGGAATTTCACCGTGTGGCGCCGCCGAACAGTTTTCGTGATCAACATCAACAATGATTTCGTGGCAATGTTTTTTTCGATCCTACTCTGTTTAGCTGGTCTATCAAGCTATTTATTCGCATGGTCTGAGCAGGGAATATCGTGTAATGGGTCAATGCTCGTGGGATATCCTGCTTGCCTTACTGTTGTCACCCATTGTAGAATCTCAAGGCAAGTTGGTTTTTCTGTCGTATATTCCTCATACCACATATGTGTCTAAGAGCGGCATTCACCAGTTTCGCAGTGGCATAAACACAGTGGCATAAACATAACCTTGACGGAAACTCGGGGACTGCGCCTACCTGATGAGCCCCAAGAAGGGCGAAACCGGTCGTGGGCTGTCGAAGAATTTTCAACAACCTCATGAGTAGTACACTACAAAACTCCCAAAAATCCTTCAAGCGCAGTGGTTTTCATATTCATGGGAGTGGGAAGGCCTTGAGGGTAATTAAAGGATTGTACAAATTGAAGCGATACCTGTTCAATTCTAGTACCTTATTCCAGTACCTCCTTTCCGCAAATTACTTGCGCTAATATAAAACTCTACTTTATGA